CCGCAAATCCCGCCAACGTTTGTCTCCTGTTTGTGGGAGAAAGTGCGTTTGGACCATCCTGCAAACCGATGTAGGACCGTGTTGGATGACACAACACGTCCGGACCACATGGTTCAGACGTATGCAGGCGGTTTGAGGGTCGGCGTTGGAGATGCCTTGACGGGTCACTGACCGGAGCGTTATCCAATAGAAGCGTGAAAACACGGTTCAATGTTTGGACTGACCAACACTCTTATACATAGCTCATATCTAGGGCAGATATCAGGAAGCCCGGACGCGCCACCTATGTAGGACTGGCAGCAGGGGCCCGCGCCAAATCGCTTGAAGATGACCCTCTCCTTATCCAATCTGTCCCGTTTCTCTCCTCTTTCCCGCCTCATCAGCACAGTCGCCACCGTAGCTCTGCCGCCATCGTTGCTCCGTCACCGTCCCAAACCCACAACGCATGCACTGAAGACCCCAACCCACAATGCCTCTGAGCATTTGGCCATCGGACACCAGCCCAGTACGTCCAACTCCTCCGACATACACCTCGCACTCTAAGTGTTTGATGAAATGTCTGAACAATTTTTGTGTGCTTTTGATCATTTGTAGGTCACCGATGGATTCATCGTAGAATGATGGCTATGGAAACATGGACCTTGGCGAATTCATATACAAAGAGCTCATCAAATTGTGGGATTTGGACGACGAAGATGCTGGAATGATGATGATGATGAGCATCCAAAAAGAAATTGAGAAGGAAGAGGAACACGTATTGAACTTCAAGGGTAAGATAAAAGGGCCGGAGAGTTATTCCCCGGGATAGGATTGCCGACGCATGAATTCTTTACACGGACTACTTCACATTGGACCCAATATATCATGAAGGTTTCTTTCAACGTCGCATCTGGATGAGCAAGCTTTGTTCTTGCGCATAGTGACTGCTGTGGAGAAGGCTAATGACAACCTTAAGCTGAGAATAGATGCATAGACAACTTCGAGATCAACATGCGCACATGCAACTTCTCAATGATCTTGTGAGTGTATATGGATCCATGCTTATAATCACTTACCTGCACTACTTATGTTTTAACTATGCACTATGAACAAATTTTACGCTTGGATTATATTTGGACTATTTATTTTTACGTAAGAATAATTTGTTTGTGTGATGCTCAATGTGCATGTATTTGAATGGATATGAATTTCAAAAGTAAGGATGCAAATGCGATCATTTGTGGACCGGGGCCAACCCTATCCAGAGTCATGTTCGCAGATGCATAGGTGTCTCCCAATTCGGTCGTAGATGCGCTTAATGACACACACGAGTCACTGTGCTTACCTTAGTTCATATGAGTCTCAATTGTGCTTATGCTCAT